AACTTGAGTTAGAGAGAGTCTATGACACTTATTGAGTACCGCGGTGGTGTACTCAGCCATCAGAGGCCCCTCTCTAGGGTCCCACTTACTTTACATGTTTCAGGATGAAGTGTGATACATGGTATACGAACAAGGCTAAGATGAACCTTTTTCCTAGGTATATGGTAAGGCACCTTTCCTATTCCTGATAGCTATCATGTTGTTTTCTTATCTTATATTAGTCGAGCATTAGCCCAAGTGTTCAACTCTATACTTTGGTAAGAGACCCCATAGATAGCTGTGATGAGTTGTAGTAATGTGATGGTACACGATATATATGAAAAGATATTTGTTGTATTTGATCTCATTATTGTTATGAAAGACTTCATATGTGATTTTTGGAAAAAGGTTTCATCATTTAACTTGAATATATATATATATATATATATATATATATATATATATATATATATATATATATATATATATATATATATATATATGATTTTCAAAGAGTTTCCGCAGTTAAATTAGTTTTCATGCATATGGTTTGATAGGTTTAAGTTTAAGTTTCAATGATGACAATATTATCTTATGTTATATTTACAGGACAAACAAAAAGAAAAGAATGAAGATGCTCAGCAAGATTGCTACTGGATTCAAAATAGCAAGTAAGGAAAGAATGAAGATACCATTACTGCATTAATGATCAATCAAGAAGCATATTGACTCGTCCTCAATCAAGGGAACTCAGATTGCCAATCATGGATACTTTATTTTCGAAGATCATGCTCGTGAATTAATCTCTCCAGGCGTAAACGTCTCCTTAAATTCAGTTGTGACAAGGAAGGTCACATTCGAATCTGGGCTAGTCAAAGAGCAAGATTCGCATAGGCACCCCTTGGGTCAAATCCCTTAATTGAAGATCTTGTTCCTCTGATTTTAAAAAAGACTCAACGGCTCTTTTCTCTCCTATAAGAAGGCTGATCCCTTAAGAAGAAGATTACGCAACTACACAAACTGTATTCCAAATCTGTCTACTTCTTAGTTCAAACACTGTAATTCTAAGTTATTAGTGTCTCAAAAGATAGAGATATCTTGAGTACAAAAGAAAGTTGTGTCAACTGATTAGAACTCAAGTGCTGATATTGTACGTTGGTGGTAAACGCGATAAAACCATCAATATTGTAACTTTGTTCAAAGATCTTAAGGGAACCCTTGTGACCCAAGGAAAACTGGATGTAAGTACCACAACGGTACCGAACCAGTATAAATCAATATGTGCCTTATCATTTCTCTTTACTGCTTTCGCTCTTTCTATCTTGTGATTAGTCAACTAATACTTGTATTAGTTGACCAAATTTTAGTTAGTCAACAATTCACCCCCCTCTTATACTTTCAATTGGTATCAGAGAAAGGCTCACAACCTTTGCTTTACCGCTAGTGATACGAAGATCAATGGGATACAGCACTGTTGTCAGTGCTCTCTTTCAAGAAGGAACCTCTCAGGTTCGATCCCCTTACTTCAATGGTCAGCATTTTTCTCATTGAAATGTTCGCATGGAAACGTATACTATGTCATATGACATCAAAGTATAGAGTGTGATAAAAAAGGGAAACCTTCCAATTCCTCCCAAGAAGGATGCAAATGGTCAAGTCATCACATTATCGGATCCTCAGGATTTGGACGATTACACTGATGAGCAATCTGCTGTTATCACTGTCAATGCAAAAGTAAAAAATCTACTGTACAATGCTATCAGTGGAGAAGAATATGAAAAGATATCCTGTTGTGAGACTGCAAAAGAAATGTGGGATAAACTGAAAATCACTTATGAAGGAACCAACAAGGTAAAAGAGACTAGAATAAATCTCCTGGTTCGGGAATATGAACTATTTCAAATGAAGGATGGAGAATCTGTTGAAGAAATATTTTCCAGGTTCAGCAAAATTCTTGGAGACCTCAAGTCATTTGGAAGACCTATTAAAAATGGTGAATAGGTTAGAAAGATCTTATGAAGCCTACCTACAATCTAGCAACCAAAGGTCATCGCTTTAGAATGTCAAGATCTGGACAAAATCTCCTATGATGAACTCAGAGGTAACTTGATTGCTTTTGAGAAAACTCATCGTGATAGACAAATTCAAGAGAAGAAGAAAACTGCTGCTTTCAAGGCAACTATGGCTGAACCAGCAAATGGAGATGAAGAAGAAGGAGGAGAACAAGATGAAAACATTGCAATGCTCTCGCAAGTTGTGACCAACATGATGAGAAGAAACAGAAACTACAGAAGAGGTAAGCCTAATTTCATAAAAGGGAGGGTGAGAAATGAAATAGATAAAAATGATGGAAGATGTTACGAATGTGGAAGGTTCGGACACGTTCAAGCTGACTGTCCAGAATTAAAAAAGAAGCTTAACAGAAACATGCAAAAGAAGAAAACTTTTGGAGCATGGAGTGATGAGGAGGAATCTGATCACGAGGAAATTGCCAACATTTGCTTTATGGTTCTAAGCAACGATGAAGAAAATGATTCAAGAGAACCTCGTTCACTGATGGATGAAGGAACTAGTAAGGTACGTACTCCTTTATGTCCAAACTGTTATGAACTTCAAGAATTTGTTGATATTGCTCTTGCAGACATAGAAAGAGTAGTAAATGAGATCTGAAAAGTCAAGAGAGAAAAAGAAAGAGAGAAGAAGGACTGGGCCCCGAAACTAGAAGTATGCAAAATTGAACGTGATATACTTCAAGAAGAAGTAAATGAACTCAAGTTTCAATTAAATGGAACGCAAAGAACCTCAAGTTCTAGTTCAGAGTCTGATTAGAACGTTCCTGTCAGGAAGAAAATAGCATGTTCCTTTTGTGGTAAAAATGGTCATAACACTAACAATTGCAGGAACAGAATTAGAGCTGAAAATAGTTCTGGCAACTCTAACAGCTCATCTTGCACCTACTGATGTAAAAGAGGTCACACCTCAAATCATTGCAGGTTCAAGAACGTCAGGAGATGGATTTGGAGACCAAAATCTTCAAATCAAACTAACTCTCAGAAATCTAACCATTCAGGACCCAAGCAGGCTTGGGTACCTAAAAATAAGTAATCTTGTTTTGTAGGAACACCGCAAGAAGAATCGAAAAGGAAAATGGTATCTCGACAGCGCGTGTTCCAGACATAGACGGGTGACAATCAATTGTTCAAATCAGTCACCAAGCCAGATGGAGGAACAGTTACCTTTGGTGACAAATCCAAAGGAAATGTTATTGGTGTTGGAAAGGTTCCTTTAAGCTCTACATGTGATGTGGATGAAGTCTACTTAGTCGATGAACTCGGCTACAATCTTCTCAGCATCAGTCAACTATATGATAATGATTATGAGGTTCGTTTTAAGAAACATGGCTGGTTCATAGAAGATGAATCATGTAACATCATTCTCTCTGGTAACGGGACATAAATGTCTATACTATCAAAAAATTGGAAAACTTTGGGGATCAAATTTGTCTTAATTCTATAATTGAAGATCCCTGAGTTTGGCATAGAAAACTTGGTCATGCAAGCATGCACACCATTTAAAAACTTTCAAAACATGACCTTGTTGTTGGTCTTCCAAAACTGAATTTTTTAAAAGATCATATCTGTGATGCATGTCAATTAGGAAAACAAACTCGATCCTCTTTTAAAGTCAAAAACATTATTTCAACCTCTAAACCTCTTCAACTGCTGCATATGGATTTATTTGGCCCCACTAGAACTGCTAGTATATAAGGTAAGAAATATGCTTTTGTTATTGTAGATGATTTCTCTAGATTTACATGGATTATATTTCTTAGTCATAAAGATGATGCCTTAAAGAATTTTGAAGTTTTCTTTAAGAAGGTTCAACGTGATATCTACCATCAGGAGTGATCATGGAGGAGAGTTTGAAAGCAGAGCGTTTGAAAATTTCTGCAATGATCAAGGAATCTCCCATAATTTCTCTTCACCAAGATCTCCTCAATAGAATGGTGTAGTAGAGCAGAAAAACAAAACCTTGCAGGATATGGCAAGAACCATGATGTGGAAAACTCTTTACCTCATCATTTCTGGGCAGAAGCTGTAAGTACAGCATGTCATATCATTAACAGGTGTCTCATTCGACCTATACTCAAAAAGACTCCCTATGAACTGTGGAATGGTAAGAAACCAAACATCAGCTACTTCCACCCTTTCGGATGCAAATGCTTTGTTCATAACAATGGAAAGGATAATCTGGGTAAGTTTGATCCAAAGAGTGATGAAGGTATATTTCTTGGTTACTCTCCCTCAAGTAGATCTTATAGAGTTTATAATAATAGAACTTTATGTATTGAAGAATCTATTCATGTTGTTGATACTAACCCTCGCCTAAGGAATGAACATGTTCCAGAAGATGAGGAAATTTCTTGTGCTCTAAAGTCTGTTATTGTAGGTAAAGATCATCAAAGTGAGTCAACTAATCTACAGACTCAACCAGCTGAAGCTCCTCCAGAAGATCTTGACTTATCTCAACCAGATCAGTCGACTAACAAAGAAAAGATCTCTAAAGCAGATACTCCAAATGAATGGAAGAATGAACCAGGATATCCTCATAAATTCATTATAGGAGATCCACAGGAAGGAATAACTACAAGAAGATCTCAAAAGAACAAATCTCATGTAGCTCTCATTTCCCAATTTGAGCCCAAGAAGGTTGATGAAGCTCTAAAGGATTCTCATTGGATCAACGCTATGAAAGAAGAATTAGATCAGTTTGAGAAAAACAAAGTTTCGCAATTAGTTCCAAAACCTCAAAACTCATCTGTTGTTGGGACTAAATGGATTTTCAGAAATAAATTGGATGAATCAGGCCAAGTTGTTCGGAATAAAGCAAGACGGGTGGCTCAAGGTTACTCGCAACAAGAAGGAATCGACTTTGATGAGACCTTTGCACTTGTGGCAAGACTTGAATCCATCAGAATCCTACTTGCCTTTGCCGCTCACAAAGGATTTAAACTATATTAGATGGATGTCAAAAGTGCGTTCCTAAATGGTTATATATCTGAAAAAGTATACGTGAAGCAACCTCCTGGGTTTGCAAATGCCACTTTTCCAAACCATGTATACAAGCTGACTAAAGCCATGTATGGTCTCAAACAAGATCCGCGAGCATGGTATGAAGGTTAAGTTCTTTTCTTCTAAATCAAGGTTTCAAACGAGGTAATATAGATACAACTCTTTTCATTAAGCAATCAAATTTTGGTGATCTCATTACTCAAATTTACGTTGATGACATTATCTTTGGTATCCCTAACACTATTTTGTGTGAAGAATTTGCTCTTTCCATGAAAGGTGAATTTGAAATGAGCATGATGGGAGAACTAACCTTCTTCCTTGGACTTCAAATCAAGCAGTCTCCTAAAGGAATTTTCATCAGCCAAACCAAGTATACCAAGGAGCTTATTAAAAAGTTTGGGATGGAAAATTCTAAGGCTATCAGAACTCCTATGAGCCCAACTACTGTGCTAGATGAAGACAGCAATGGAGAAATGGTTGATGAAACCATGTATAGTGGAATGATTGGATCTCTACTTTATTTAACTGCTAGTCAACCAGATATTATGTTTAGTGTATGTAAATGTGCCAGATTTCAGTCAGCTCCTAAGGAATCCTATTTGACTGCGGTTAAACGCATAATTAGATATTTAATTGGTACTACTCAATTAGGACTATGGTATGATCATACTAACAATTTCTCATTGAGAGGCTTTTCATATGCTGATTTTGTAGGAGACAAAACTGAAAGGAAAAGTACCAGTGGGACATGTCAATTGCTGGGAAATGCCTTAGTATCTTGGCATAGCAAGAAATAAAATTGTGTTGCTCTTTCAACGACTGGGGCAGAATACCTAGCCCTTGGAAGTTGTTGTACACAAGTTTTATGGATTATGCATCAACTCCTTGATTATGATTTATGTCTTACTGCCATTCCTATTTTTTGCGACAACACCAGTGCTATATGCTTATCTAAAAATTTTGTGCATCATTCTAGAGCAAAGCATATAGAAATTAAACATCATTTTATTCGTGATCATGTTGCAAGAGGTGATATTACATTAGAGTTTATTAGTACTGATTCTCAACTTGCTAATATTTTTACTAAACCTCTTTTGGAAGAAAGATTTTGCATCCTTCGAAAAAAGATTGGCATTTTGCCAAATTTGTAAACCAAATATTTTTATAAATGGTTAAATATTTTACACGCTTTCAGTATATTTTATTTCCTAAATTATCCTTGTACTAATTACTTTTACTCTGGAGGTGTAATTACTACTTGTACCGCTAAGCAGTCATTCAGAACCATCACCTCCGTCTGTACTTGACCCTTCCAGTAACCAAGACGCCCTTTCGCTCCTTCAAGTCTCTTGTTAAAAACCTTCCATCTCCAAATACTCCTCTCATTCCCTACCAAACCACCGATTTCTCCATGGCCAAAAGAAACCCTTCCTCTACAACCAGACGAAGCCATAGGTTTCAAAAAGCTCTCAATACAGAAGAGCCTATGGATGTAGAATCATCCATTGACTCAGACTTTCTCAAAACAAACAATGATAGCAGTGGCTCATCTGAAAATCACCCTATCAGCCAGAAAAAGGCCGGAAAAAGACCCATGGAGCAAACACCGAAAAAGGTTGCAGGCAAGAAGGGCAAGGTAGAACGCTTGGAATTTGGTCGAGAAGACAAGCTGATCTTCTATGGCCCCAGTGAAAAGGCAAGGTTTGAGTCCTATAAGTCAAAATCCATGGCTTATGGACGCTGTGTAAGTCTCTCTCTTATGCAAAGTCTTCATTGTGATGTGACTGCAATTTTTGATTTTCAACACCTTTCCCCTTTGTTTGACACTTTTGGAAATTATGTGTATGAAGAACCTATGAGAATGTTTTATGCAAATCTGTTTGTGAATGATAAGGATGACTTAGAATCTATGATTTTGGGAACTAGAATTGTGTTGGACTCCCACCAATTTGAAAAGATTTTTTCTGCCAAATTTAGTGGGTATGATGTGTTTGTCCAAAATTCTTGGCCCAAAGACTTTGAAGTGTCTCTTGAAGAAGCAAAAATTTTCTTGTCTGATAACCCCCCTGACATTGGCCCCAAAAATCTTAAGTTTGAACACCGTGTTTTGGCCCACATGATTGCCACCACTCTCCTCCCAGGTCTGGGTCCCTAAGTTCTTTGTCCACTAGAGATATCTTTGTCCTCTACTGTCTGGTCAACAACAAGTGTCTTGATTGGTTTATGTGGATTCGTCAGTATATGCTTGAGAGTATCAGGGATATTTCCTCTTCTGCTGCTTGTCTGCCCTATGGTATTCTTATCTCTCATATCGTGGAAGTTATGAAGGTAGACTTGGCACCTTTCACACCTAAGCACATCTCAAGTACTTATGATAAGATTGCATTTTCTATGATGGGATACTCATTGGGTGAAAGCGGATGGGTTAAGCGAGCCAAGGTTGAAAGTGCTCCAACTCTGGTTGATGTTCAAGCTGATCAACCAGTCTCTCAGTCGACTACCTCTCCAAACCTTCAACAAATTCAACAACTTGATGGAGTCAAGCTGCTGCTTGTGGAGATGAAAGAACAGGTGGATAAGATCAGAGATGTCACTAAGGAGACAGGTTCAGACGTAGCAAAGCTTCAGATAGACATAGGAGCTACAAGGAGACATGGAACCAGGGCCTTCAATTCCATGACTGAAAAGATGGACAAGCTCGTCAGGGATGTTGAAAACTCCTATGACTCCTTCTGCACCAAAGTGATCAACACCCTCAAATACTTTCTGGGACGTCATAAGTTATCTCTGGTTGTGCTGTTGTGACAAACAAACTTGTGTTTCTTTTTGCTATTTTTTTATGGTGGCCTTTAGACAATTATTTTTTGGTCTATACTAACTTAAGCCTCTGTTGAAGGCTCTACTGCTCTAACCCCTTTTAGTATGTACATTATGTTGCACTGTGTTTGTTTCTGTTACTCTTTCCTTTTTGATTGATGTCAAAGGGGGAGAAATTATGTGAGTAAACACTCAGGGGGAGATATGGGCACATCATTCAAAACATAGGAACAACATAATCTCAAGGGAAGCACTAGCTCAGGGGGAGCAACTCCTTAAAAAGGAAGTATCTTAATTTACTTTACTTTGTTTACTTCTTCATGATTTTCATCATCAAAAAGGGGAAATTGATAGGTTTAAGTTTAAGTTTCAATGATGACAATATTATCTTATGTTATATTTACTGGACAAACAAAAAGGAAAGAATGAAGATGCTCAACAAGATTGCTACTGGATTCAAAATAGCAAGTAAGGAAAGAATGAAGATACCGTTACTGCATTAATGATCAATCAAGAAGTAGATTGACTCGTCCTCAATCAAGGGAACTCAGATTGCCAGTCAAGGATACTCTATTTTAGAAGATCGTGCTCGTGAATTAATCTCTCCAGGCGTAAACGTCTCCTTGAATTCAGCTGTGACAAGGAAGGTCACATTCGAATCAAAGCTAGTCAAAGAGCAAGATTCGAAGAGGCACCCCTTGGGTCAAATCCCTTAATTAAAGATCTTGTGCCTCTGATTTCGAAAAAGACTCAACGGCTCTTTTTTCTCCTATAAGAAGGCTGATCTCTCAAGAAGAAGATTACGCAACTACACAAACTGTATTCCAAATCTGTCTACTTCTTAGTTCAAACACTGTAATTCTAAGTTATTAATGTCTCAAAAGATAGAGAGATCTAGAGTACAAAAGAAAGTTGTGTCAACTCATTAGAACTCAAGTGCTGATACTGTACGTCGGTGGTAAACGCGATAAAACCATCAATATTGTAACTTTGTTTAGAGATCTTAAGGGAACCCTTGTGACCCAAGGAAAATTGGATGTAAGTACCACAGCGGTACCGAACCAGTATAAATCGTTGTTTGCCTTATCATTTCTCTTTACTGCTTTCGCTCTTTCTGTCTTGTGATTAGTCAACTAATACTTGTATTAGTCGATCAAATTTTAATTAGTCAACAATTCACCACCCCTCTTGTACTTTGATGGTTTGGATGTACCATATGGTTTGGTTCGCTCGAATAGGGTAGTGTGCCGGGTGTCGATCACGTAGTTTTAGATCGTGACAAGACTAGACTAAGATTTTGCTTGATTCTGCTATCTCTTCTATTTTATCATGTGAAGCCTCCAACAATTTTCGAATATATGCATGACATATCAATATACAGCAATCAACTATGCATCTATCTGGAATCAGCTGCACTCGTTTTATTTCATCTGAAGGTAGGGGCGGAGCTAGAGCTTCAGTAACGGTTTCGGCTGAACCCAATAGCTTTATGCAAACCTCATATTTGTCTTAAGAAATTTATTGAATAGGTACAAATTCTTACTTTAGAACCCAATAACATAAAAAAACTTGAATCTCAAATCCAATAACTTCATATCCTGACTCCGCCGTGGTCTAGATTCTACAAATGATCCCATAACAATTCTATAAAGCAACAAACTGAACAATTCGATAAAGCAATACAGCGGAGAGATATTTCAAATACATATATCTGCACCATTTTATTTTAGTAGATTGTGACTTCTTTTATGTTTTTCTTAAAAGAAAAAAACGAAAAGATCTAGTGGGTTAGGCCGGTAAATAGTTTTAATGGAAACTTTTAATTTTTAAAATGATTGGGTTAAAAAGAATAATATCACATCAGCAAAAGCCAAAAAGTACAAAAATATCCCCTGAAAGCATAGTGATTTTTCAGTTAAAATGAACAAATAAAGTGACTTTTTAATTACAAAATAAAATAAAAGTAACTTTCGATTAAAATAGGCAAACAATTATAAAACAAAGTAAAATTGACTTTTTAAAATAATATTCAAAGTTTAGTGACCTTTTAAGAAATCTTAGGCAATCATATATAGAAGTTAAATTTTCAGTTTATTAACATTAGTTTCACATCACTTGTATAACTCCAAATTTAGTCTATGGGACCAGTCAATTTGGTAGGGAGTATCTTGTAGGTATCGATTTCAAACGATTATTTCTTGAGTAAATATCCTCCACATGCATGGATCAATGTTGAATCCTTTTAAATACAACAAACAAGATACACAAACTTGGTATCGATTAACTAAAAGTGTCCTAGCGCACTGCAATTAGGGTTAACAATCTCATACCTCATTAAGGGCTCAAAATCCCTTAATTTGTTAAAAATATAGATTATACTCTGATATTAAACACTGACATAATTCCTCCAGGTAATTATCCTTCCATTTCGTCTTGTCTAAGATCTTCTGGTTTAGTATGCTCCAAAATGTTTGATGTCATTTCATTTTTATGCAATTTTCACAACCTTCAGGAATTCAAATCTTATACACCACACACTAATCATAAGAGAGGATGATTAGGCAATTTTCAATATTGGCAGTATTCAAATAAAATGCCCTTCCTTCGAAAAAAAATTAAACATTCTTCCCAACAATTAGAATTTCCACATATTAAGTAATGACAGATCAACTATGCTATCTTATTACAGTTTTTTATTTTTATCATCTCTAGTATAGTCAAGACAAACTTCTCCTCAATGTGGGCGTTGTTTGACCAAAAAGTGTAAACTTTTAATTAAACTAATTAATTTTGTGTAACACAGGGTTAAACCAAGTTAATAATAATATTCCTAGATTTATAAGTACTAGTTAGCACAAATATTGCAAGATAATGTTGGCAGGGGATTAAATGCAATGTGCATTTAATATTCCGAAAAGTTTCAGTAAGGATAAGATAGTATCAAGCAATAAATATTAATAGATGTCATTAATGTAAATAA